ATGTCTCTCTCTTTTTTCATAGCTCTGCAGACTGTTTTTAGCTCTTGCTAAAACCTTAATTCAAAGGTGGTGGTATTAATTCAGGTGTAGAAATGACTGACTGAAGTATTGGAGGCACTGGCAAGGCACAAGAGAAGGCTAGATTTTGTTTTACAAATCTGAATAAGAAAAGAACATTTAAACTCTAATGACTACAGGACAAATGAAGCAATATATTTTGACTATTTCTGCCTAGTTTTTGTGGGTTTTTAAAATTAGCATATATTCTAACAAATTAGTGCAGATTCCAATAAAGTTACACTTGTTTTTGCTTTGATCTTAAACCAAATCATATAGTGCTAGGCCCCTAGCATATTAGCAAAGCTTCTCATTTCTGTAGAAAAATATGTTTTGTGTTATTTCTGATGATGTGCCACACCATCTGCACCCCCTTTTCAAAATCCTAGATCCACTCATGCCTGCAGCCCTACATTTCTTATAGTAGTCACCAAGACCAGTTAGCAGTAGAGAGGAAAACTTGCTGTTTCCTTACAGCGTTAAGTTCTCCTTGTTTACGAAGTAGCTCTTGACATGGCCTCTGGAGCGTCTCCTGATACCGCACAGATCTTCATTGCCCCTAATATAACTGACAGCTTGTTGGGCACAATTATTAGAATATACAGAAATGTAAGTGTCCCTGATCTTAACATGACTGGTCTTTAAAAAAAAAGGCTTGTGCTATGGTGTTCGTGGGAGGATTTTGAATTAGTTCATGACAAGAAAAGGCTACCACCATTCAATTTCATAGCTACATGGTATGCTTTGTTTTCAGTGATCAGGTCACTCTTTTTTACCAAGTAGCATATAATGAATTATTATAACATGACATTTTGACATACAGTTGGGAATGAAAAAGTGGCACAATGGCACAACTATCACGGATATGCAATTCAGACAGGCCCAGATCTGGTCACTGAGCAGCTAAAACTGGAGAGCTGACTGGTTTTCTTTGTGTGTGTGTTCTAGTTCCCCATTTCTCTCACTGTGCAAACTGTGCAATGGAAGTGCACGCAGGAAACAAGGGAACTACTCCACCTGCTGTTTACACAGTCTGCTTGGCACACGCCCCAGCTCAGTGCAAGCATGCAGAGAGCTAAGGGCTTGAAAAAAAATCTCCTGTTCAGAGTTTCCTAGGCTTCTGGAGAGAGAACCATGCCCTGGCTTTTGATGATGGTGTGAAGTTGCTCTCCAGCTTGGGAAAGAAGAGAAAATATCTCCCCCTTCCCACCCATGTGGACTGATGTGCAAGAAAGTTCTAGATATTAAAATCCAAACTGTGAGTTCCTCTGAGGAGCTGAACTTCTTAGGTTACTACCGCTTTTCCCATGGCAGAATGGAATTTTTCCTCCCCCCCCTCAATATGTATTTATTTAAATCAGAGGCTCAGATCTACTAGTTCTAAAGACTTGAAGGACCAGAAGTAACCAGAAGTTCAGTTCATTAACTGTAGATCAGTGATTCTCAGCCAGGGAGCTGTGGCACCCTGGGGTGCTACAAGATCCGTTTAAGGATGCTGTGCTGCCCTGATACCAGGTGGAACTGCTCCGCTGCCGCTCCCACTTTGTCCTGTCCCAGTCCCCACACACGTACATCCTTGTTTTTCTGTGCAGTTCCCAGGCTGTTCACACCTCAACACCTGGCTGCCTTTCTCCTCCTTACAGAGCTAAGTACAGTACTGACCCTCACAGCTGCTGCTCCTCTTGTCAGCTTTGCTTCTTTACAGCCTCCATCCAAGCCCAAACCCAGGAAAGACTCTTATGCTATGACAGCTCAGCAGCCTCTGCAACAGAGCTACCTCTATGCTTCCCGGCACCCGCAGGGCTCAGCAGTGCCAGATCCAGCCGAGTCTCTCCCTGCTGTAACCAGGGCAGTACTGAGGCTGGCCCTGGCAGAGCGCGGGTGCCCCTTTGCTGGTTCATTGCACCCCTGTCCCACACAGGGACTAGAGTTGGAAGGACTGGGCAGCGTGGTTCCCCAGAGCTTCCCCTATTTGCCACCACCAATTGCACTTGTTTTGACAGGGGGAGCAAGGTGCACTGGTTCTATGGAGCAGTGACTCAGAGGTTGCCCCATTGCCGGTCCAGTTCTTGGGACAAGGATGCCCAGTAGCAGCTGAAGGAGGAGAGATGTGTCCTTACAGGGGAAGCTGAAGTCCACTGGCAACTAGGAAAGTTGTTTGATCTGAGCACAAGATGTGGGAGCCCACACTTGGGAGTGGGGGTGCAGGTTAAGCCATGAATGGTGCTGCCCTGCTCTGGCCAGTGCCAAGCACAGGGAGGAAAAGCAGAAAGTCCCAGAAATAGGATTCTGCCAAAAGGCAGCCTCCCCTTTCATTAACCAAAGCTCATAAAGGTCCTAAGAGGCAGGAGCACTGAGGGCAGAAGACAGCTCCAGAAGATCCCATCCTTAGTAAAGTACATAGTAGATCTTCCTGGTTAGACAAAGGAAATACCAAAGTTATCTTAAAGGCAATGCTTAGTTGTGTGGCAAAGCATTAAAGGTGTTTTGCTACAGCTCCAGGTTTATGAGTTTAGTCTTTGCTCTGGATTCAGGTCAAGGGCCACATCTCCAGTCAAATCACCTATACAGAGGTAACTGAGGAATCCAAGGAAGCCAGATATGGAGCTAGCCACATCATTCCTTTGTGTGCCATTGACTACAGAAACTGATGCTTCTTCACCAGCCCATCCTTCTTAGCTGCAAGGCTCAGCAGGACATTTGACCTTTACTTAGTTGAATGGTGCCCAACGACATACTACATACCTTACAAGGAGCAGAGCAGATAACTTCCCGTAAAAGCTTCCTGCTTTATATAGCATACAACCTACAATTAAATGCACTGAATGAGGGTGAGAGGGGGCGGGCTGGCTGGGCTGGACAAGATTAAATAAATAAGATTATGTCACAGCCCAGGTACTTTATGAAAACTTCTTACAGTTAACTGTTTTTCCTCTCTTTTTCTCTCATGCATTGTGGCAGGGGTGAGTTTAGGAGGAATATAAATGAGATCAAGGTACTGTCTCACAGAAGAGATTCCGGGAAACCTTGCCATGTGTAGGTATTGGCATCCAATATAATGCACTGATGCTAGTGAGAAGAGACAAACAGAATGAGGTCAAAGCAGACAACTATGGGAGAATGAAGAGACTGAGTATAATAATGCCAGGAGAAACCTGGACATAGATGTCAGTCCTTCAGGACAAAGACAAGAATGCAATATGCAGAGTGTTGGGGGGCTATTAAAGAAATGAAGGGCACTGCACATTAGTGTGACTGTTGGCAGGTTGAGAGATCAAGGGAGAAGAGAATGCAAAACAAAAGGAAAGGGGAATGTGGAAATAAAGGAAGAGAGACAATAAGTATAGAGGAAAAGAGATGTCAGGTCTGCAATAGGAAGAAAAGAAGGGAGGTGGGGAAAGATAACGCTAGGGTATTTGTCTACTGCTTATTTACAGGGCCAGGCAACACTAATATCAAGGAGCTTTGCACCTGTTCTTTCAATACTATGTCCTGAATCAGAAAGGAGCATGGGCAAGTTAGTACAATACTGCATACATGCCCACAGGCTCTGTGTCTTAAGACAAAGTATGTGCAGCATTATTTTAAGGTAACTACTGCTTCTGGCTCGGGAGGAAGTATACACAGAACAAATGTGTCTCACAGTAGGCACATCTACACATGCAATTAATGCACCTGAATTTTCTCTGCAGAAAATTCAGGCTCATTAAAGTGCTCCCAGGCACAGGTCTACATGTGCGCCCACATCAGAAGTAAATTGCACCCAACGGTCAAGGGTTGCTCCAGCCCTGCTCTTCCCCCCTGAAGCAGCCAGGGGGAGCTCCAGGCTCCTCTGGGTGCCAGACCCTAGATGTCCCAGTTCAGTGGGCAGCTCCCTGCCACCTGCAGAGAGAAGGGCAGGCCCCGAGCCCCGGGGGACAGGGAGAGCTGTCTCAGCTCAGCGGGCAGCTTCCTGCCAGCCCTGCACAAATCAAGATCCAACTCAACCTCCACAGAGCAGAGAGAGTTATCCCATCTCCCGGGCAGCTGCCTCCCAGCCACATGGAGACTGGGATGTATTCTGATCTCCACATGGCTGGGAGGCATCTGCCCAGCTGCTGGGACAGTTCTCTCAGCCAGCTGGAGATTGGGTTGCATCCGGATCTCCATGTGGCTGGGAGGCAGTGTCCTGCTGAGCCAGGACAGCTCTCCCTACTCACCATGACCCGCTTCTGCCCAGGCTGACCAGGAGCAATTTGCAGGACCTAATACTGGTACTAATTCTAGTACTTTTATCTACAAAAAATGGCACATTATACTAATCTACTGTACAGCAATTGCTGTGCAAATGTAGATGGTGACACTTTACTCTACATTACATTAGTCTTGTGCAGACACACCCAATATGGTGCTGTATGGCAACATGATTAATCTGTATAAATCCAAGAGATCTATCCAGTTGTGCCTGTGTGCATGAATCCTCTGACTAGAAGACTGACTAAAGCAGCAGTTTCCAATAGAAAAGCTATCCCTGTATCTCAGGAACTAGTTTTATGCTGATTGACTGTGCGTTCATGTTTGTACAGTGTTTCCAGGGCATTTGTTTTCAAAAGAAAAAAACTTTATGCAAACTTTGTAACATGCTTGTATAATTTATTTTCAAAAGCACACTATGTGGCCTAAATTAAAGACAAAGCAGGACTAATAACAAGCAACGTGACCAAAGATCAACAGTAAGGCAAAATAAAGAACTAAAAACTGAGAGGTACGATTGGCAAAAATAGGTTCCTGTTAGGAATCCAAAAGCAGAGGTGCAGTTTAGTTAGCACATTTCCAAAAGTTTACTAAAATCAGAGTGTGTCATTACAGTTAATTCATTAAAATAAACCAAGCATCTGAGCTATACAAATATTAACAGCCAGAACTTGCCAGAAACTGGGGTGGAGGGGACCTAGGAAATTTGCAATATATGATAAAGGAGGATAATGCAATATAATATAATAAAATAATTAAATGTGTACACATTTTAACAATTTGTTCCCACATCTAATGTTACCTCATTTATCTGCTTTTGCTAAAATTCTGTTGTACCTTGCTGTGATTCCAAACTGAAAGAAGAATGTACTTCTAAACTGTAAAGAAAGCAGGTTTCCAGATATGCATAGAAAATTACAACTTGTTGAACTTTTCTTTTCCCAAAACTCTCCTGCAAGTGTCATGCCTTTATTTTGTTTGTTATGCAGAGTGACTATTTAAGCAGCATATAAATACTGGGCAGTTCCTTTCACACCAAGGCCAGTTATCTGTTTAATAAAAAAAAAGAAAAAGAAAAGATGACTCCTTAGTTGTTCTGGAAACATTCCTACCTAATATAATCAAACTATTCACCTCATTAACCTCTCCATACCCCAAAAAGGACTTTACATCAAGAAGAACTGGTTAAATCCAAAAAAAAGAGGTTACTCTATGAAGTTAATTACAGTCTTTTCATTTGCATGAAAGATTCTTCAATGGGACAGTGATAAGTAGTAGTAAAAAATTTCTAAGTTTAATTGCCATTAATAAAACAGAATTAACTTAGTCTTCTGTTCTATAAAGTACCCAACTATGGTGCTTAAATGGCCCCTTCCCTACATTTTCTAAGCACCTTCTTGCTTTTATTCTATTTATCTTAACACTACCATTCTGAAATAAGATAATATCTCCATTTTGCAGTCAGAGACCTGACACAGGGGGTGTGTCTACAAGTGCAATTAATGTGCAGTAAGGTTACTGCGCAGTAAAATAAGGTGCAGGAAACTGCACTGGGAACATGTCTACACGTGCACCCTGCCAGGTGCAGAGTTGCTCCCAACAGCAGCCGATATGCCCAAGGCTGCTTCTGATCCACTCTGCCTCCTGCACCAACCAGGCAAGTGCTGATCCTAACATGCATGGGGCCAGGAGAGATGTGCCAGGTGCAGAGGCAGCTGTCTTCTGGCCCTGTGCACACAGGTCCCTATGTGCATGGGGCTGGGAGACAGCTGCCCCTACAGCCAGAACAGCTCCCCTCACGTGGGGGAGCAGTAGCCCCCTATATGTGTGGTTCTGCACAGTAGCTACTGCACAGTTAATCTACTACCTGTATCTACAGGTAGCAGCCAACCATGCAATAGACTAATTTACTGCACAGCAAATGCTGCACATATGTAGATGGTGACACTGTACCATGCAGTAGATTAGTCTACTGTGCAGGAAAGCGTCTTGTGTAGACATACCCAGTGAAATGAAAACCCAGATCCTCAGAAATATTTAGGCACCTGACACCCACTGAAATTAGAAATTGCCAAAACTTGATCCCTCTAAGCCGCAGGGGCAGGCAATTATTTTGGGCAGAGGGCCACTTACTGAGTTTTGGCAAGCCATCAAGGGCTGCATGACAGGCAACCCAGAGCAGATAAATATTAATTTTCTAAATTTTTAGGGGCCCCATGGGCTGGATAGAATGAGTAAAGAGTAAAGTTTGCCACACTGATCTAATAAGAAATAAGGGCCAAAACATTGAACAAACAACTGGCGGACATAAAACTTCCAGAACAATTACCACCACAATTGCCATTAGATCTAGGCCAGATGGGCTAGATTCTAATCTCTGCTAACAAACCTAAAACACTCACTTCTTTTAGCTGAAAGAAACAAAATTTAATCACCTTGAAAATCTCTCCTGCCTGAGGTTCCTTTGCCAAAGCCTCCTTGTCCAACCCATCATAGGCAGAAGTCACGTACATTTCTGAATAGTCTTTTCCACCAAAGCAGCACGAAGTGATTCTTGAAGCTGGCAGCTTCACTGTTTGGATTCGTTTCCCTGAGGAAAAACAGCATTTCCTTTGTTTACATTTTTAGGGCAAAATGTAATGCATTATTTGCTGCTAACACCCCTGAAAGAAGGGGTCATCACCAGGGAGGGCTATTCTGCAGTTGCTTAGGGATGTAGGGGGGTAGTTAGGAAGGCCAAGGCAGAGATGGAACTGGGACTAGCTTCCCAGATTAAGGACAATAAGAAGTCCTTTTTTAAATACATAGGGGGTAAGAAGAAGGTCCC